ACGACGTCAGATAGTGAAAAGCCGAAAGCCCCATCGTTTCGTGAAGCGGTATCGGCACTTGCTGTTCATTGTTTAACTACCTCACTGGGCTATTTAAGGCTGCCTAATTCTTCATACTGACAGTCATCAATCCCGAGAGGTGTCTTGTTCTGGAGGACCGACCAATTTAACGAATTTATCCATCCGTTAAGCCAAAGTTTGAGACTGGAAGAGCGACATGGTCAGTGTTGTTGCGATCAGTAATCCGGCCATTGGGTGTAAATGCAACGCTGTCAAAATCGTGTAATGCCTATCCCGTATTCCCGTCAGTAGCGTAGCTGATCAGCACGAACCATAAGATAAATTAACGTCAAACGATAAAGCAAACATCAAGTGGACGAGAGAGATAGCTTTGGACCAGAGCATGTGTACTGTTGGAGCGATAGTAGACTCTAAACATGATGACTTTTGTCGGCTTGCCATGTAGACTCTTAACCCGTTACAGATACTCGGGAGCTCTGTGGCAAAGTAAACGAAGGAGACGGCCGTCGGTTGTTACTAGTGGTTCCAGAGTTGTAAAATTTGCCACGGTGTTAATATTTGATCCACGCATCCACGCCCAACGCGAGTCATACAACCTTTTAATCGCCTTAGACTAACAACACAGGAAGCCTTCGCATCAACGTCGATCGGACTCATGCCGCGGTGGTATTCGCTACTCGCCCAATCACTGACTGGAGCCAGGACGCTGGAGTGTCAGCACATGACTTGTGGAGCTCAGTGAGGAAACCGTCCTCTCCAAAAGTCTTGTTGTTGTTGTGCAGCCTACGTATACGATCTAAGATGTCTTCCTGAGCGCGATGGGGGGGGGGGGGATAAAACTTTGCTCCAGAGCAGATCGGCTGCTCAAAATGCTCTTCCCAGCGCTCGCCCCTCTGGCTGATTTGTCGATAATAAAGCCGCCATCCATATCGCGAACAAAGTTACCCAGTACTAACTTGACGAATTGCTTGGTAGTTCAAGAGTACTGCCGATATTTGAGACGTTCTATCATGGAAGTTGTTACTTAAGCGTGCAATCTTCTGCATTCTTAACCAATAACTGATGATATGCCGTCCTCATCGTTACAAAATGGGCATCTGTGGCATATTCGGGCTTTAGGTGCCAGAATCAGGACTCTGGGAAATCAAGATCCCCAGGCAAATTCGCACCTTAATCGCCGTCACAACCACACATGTGACTTTTGGGAGAGGCAGTGTAACGATTGTCCCTGGGGACATTGGAATTAGGCATTACTGGCATGTGATGCAATCAATGGCTGACTTATGCAATGGTGTCTGAAGTTCAGTTTTCTAACTTCTCTGTCTCCTCTGTTAACCCGCGTAGACAATGTCCGTCAGAGCGGTAAAGAAGTCCACTGAACTCCCTGTCATTTTCCCTTTTCTGTGCTTTTATAGTGTTTGCATTTTAGGAGGAGAAAGACGAGGAGGAGACGGAGCCGGAGAATAAAGAGCGAGACGAAGAATAAGAAAAAGAAGAAGAAGAAGAAGAAGAAGGAGAAGAAGAAGAATATGGAGAAGAAGAAGAAAAAGAGGAAGAAAAAGAAAAAGAGGAACAGGAACAGGAAGAGAAAGGAAGTGAAAAAGAAAAATGAGGTAGAAGAATAGGAATAGGAAGGAGAAAATGAAGAATAAGAAGAAGAAGAAGAAGAAGAAGAAGAAGAAGAAGAAGAAGAAGAAGAAGAAGAAGTAAGACAAGGCCACCAATAACTGATTTAAGCACTTGTTTCTGAAGCGCATATTTCTAACTTCTCTGTCTCTTCTGTTCACCCGCCGGCACAATGCCGGTCAGAACCGGCAGAGGAGTCTACTTAACACCCCGTCATTGTCCATTTCTGAGTTTGAATTTGAGAGGGACGAGGAGGAGACGGAGCTGGAGAAGAAGAAGGAGGCAGAGGAGGAAGCAGAAGAAGAAGATGAGGATAAGGAGAAAAGCGGAAGGATATAGGGTAGAAAAAGAAAATTGAGGTGAAGGAGGACAACAAGGAAAGAGTAATAGGTGAAAGACGTTGATGGTAGTGGATGGGAGGAGGATGATGGGAGAAAGGGGAGGAAACATAAGAAGAGGCAACCGGAACGAGTACAGAGCCAAGAACTGAGAAGATATTTGCGTTCATCGAATTATGGAACATAGAGCAAACGTCGCTAGTTTTCTTTATTCTCTTGCAGCAGCGTTCTGTACCATTAGACGCCCATTCCTATGACTAGACAGGGTGTCAACAGAAATCCCTACTCATAAGAAAGCATGCTATCGTGCCAGTATTCTACAAGTGCTGGTACATAATAATCTGACCCGTTGTATTCGATTTTCGGTCGGGCGTTGACCAAGGTTTCAACTTGTGCAATATCCTGCCTACGTGCATCGTTTACGGGAATTCCTAAGGTGAACTGTCCTTTGAAGGTCGGTAGTTAGCATCAGGGTGAAGGCTGAGTGATCTGGATTGCAGTAAGTACAGCGTCCCGATATCACGAATGTCTGATGACCTACGCAACTCAGTATCCTTGTATTCAGCTTTCTCATCAATGTTGAGAGGAGTTACTCGTTAGGCTGATCTGGCTGAATCCAACTTGGTGTGTCATACGAGCTCTGCTATTGCTATTCGTGTGTGCGAATATGTTATCTTCGCAAACTGGTGTTATGTGTACACATCGAATCGAAACCTTCTGCCTAAAATTCAATCCCCGCCTCCCCCCTCCCCCACGGTTTTTTTTACTGACTTGGCACACGTCATTCTACTTGGCTGTTAACCCACGCCATAGGTGACTTCTAGGTAGCTTAGCCTTG